ATTGGCTCCCCTTCTTCCTCCTTGGTCCGAAGTCAGGACAGCAGTGGCCCCCTTTTATCAGTAAGGTAAGGAAGATTTCTGTGTTTGCAGTGGAAGGACAAGACTGCATCTCCAGATCCCCCACTGCCATGTGGTATGTGTTTGTATACCTGCTCCATGGCCCACGTGTGGCTTGGGAGGGTCTGGAGCCTTGATAGCTCTTCAGAGACTCACTGTACATTTCATGTACTTTGGTTTACTTTTACAAATCGTCTGCTTCTCCTCTGGCTGTCACATTGTTCATCCCTTCAGGGACCACCCAAGCTTCTCTTCTGCTTCAGCCCAAGTATCCTTTCACATGTCACCTGGGCTTATACCTCCACTGTCCCATCCCCACCTCACTGGTTCTGCCTGCATCTCCTTCAGCTGTACAGCAGATGTAGGTGCAGATTGGGTTACCAAAGCTTTGAGAAGGAAAGGGTCCTGCCTTCTGGCCTGCATGGGGAACCTTGGGCTTCCCTCTGCGAGACATCTTGTCTAACTCATTTGTTTTGTCTGAAGCTATCCATCCATCACCAAGTCCCACCCCTTGTGCCACCCTTCGTCCCCCAATCCTATATGAACCCTGGGGTGTGCTTCTGGTTGTGTCACCAAATGCAAGGGACTTTCCCAGGTTATTATTTCACAGGTGTTCTGATAGATAAGCTAGGCTGGGACCAGCGGGTTGACTGTAGAAGGCAGCTATAATGAGAAGCATCCTGAGCCATTTCAGGGCAGCACCTAAAGTGTGCCATTCCTTCTGCTGTTGTGTTCGTCTCTTTCTCCCTTTCCCTTGAAAGTTCCCTGATCTTTGATTCCTTGGGGTCTTCTCGTGGCCCAGTTCTGGGTCATTTCATCATCCTAATGGAAGGTTAGGCTTGTTCTTCAGCAGCAAGGTTGTGAGACTACCAGTGCAGGGGTGCCCACAGGTTATGGGTGGCCTTCCCATTGGTCTTTGCCAGGAGGCCCTGAAGCCTTTAATTCCACCCACAGGTTCCCTTTTTCTGGCTTCAGGTAGGCAGGTATCCCTTTTAATATATTGGCTTTTGTGGTCTTTTATTTTTACTGAATGCCAGCTATGGTGTCCTCCTTCTGTTCCAGAAAATATAGACTATTAGAAGAAAGTAAAAAGCACCCAATATTTCCACAGTAAGAAAATAATTTTTGTTAACACACTGGTGAACTTCCTTTCATCTTATGATTTCATTGGGTACTTAAGAATCCTATGTGTCTATTATTGTTTTCTGCTTTTTTACTCCACCTTACAGCCTAGATATGTAGAAAAGCCTTCACGCACATCTCCAGGGCTGTAGAGCACTCAAGCGGCCAGAATCCCTGATTGTGTGTTGTCAGAAATTCTCAAGGTTGCGCTTTTAGAGCTATTTCCAGCCATTTGCCAAACATCTTGGTGTTTTGGTGACTTGATGGGTTCTCAGAGTGGATCAGAGGCACCTCTCTTGGGCACACCCCCTCCCCATGAGGGGTGAACGCTTTTGCTGCTTTTATTAAGTAACAAGTTGTACCCTTAACTCTATATGTTTTGAGGTGGTTTAATGTGTATGTGTTTATATGTTTCATTCCTGCATTCAGTGTCTTTTTCAGCTTATTAAAATAACTGATTCTCATCTAGTGTTCTGAGGTGTAAACAAGAGTGCCTTGCTTCCCTGTCCTGCTGTGGAGAAGAGTAGCCTAGCCCAGGCTGTGCAGAAACCCTCATTAAGCTCCTGTCTTCTTAATCTCATGTCTTTCTCTTCACTTTCTTAGCATTTTGTCCTAGACATGACTAAGGAGGTACATTTTAAACATCTGCTTTCAGATATTCATGTAAAAAGGAAAGTAGTTTCCTTCACAGCTGGTTAAGATCTGGTGAGATGACATAATACTGGCGCTTACTGGGCAGTGCCGGCTCCTTCCTGGGCATCTCCCTATGGGTTTCTGAGGCAGTCCTGTCCTTTTGCTATAGGTGGCCCTTGGACTAATGGTGTCTTTCTGCCAATCAGGACTGGTAAGGTTTATTTCTCACCTTTCTCTGCCGTCCATCTGAATGGGTGTTGCTGGCTCCACAACTGGCATGTCCTGGGGCCACCAGCCTAGCCCAGTCAGGCCCTCACCAGGAATAGGTGGTGCTTGCCATCCAGAATAGACATACCAACTGAGTGCTTGTGTTTGTGGGGTTTACCTCTCAGGCTGACACTTAGCTCCCTGGGGACAACAGTGGTTTCTGGTGAAAGTTTTTGGATAATAAATGGGTCAGAAGAGAATGCAGTTTTCCTGAAGCAGATTCAATATGACACTCAGAATTTCTGGATAGATCTTGAACAGAATGGTGGAGTCCAAGTGAGTAGTTAATGCCCTTTTAGGGACTAAGTTTCTGGAGAGTTGCCTCAAATTAGTGTTTCTGCATATTACCTTCTGTTTTTCCTTGAATTCTGATGGAATTGTAATTCCATGGAAATGAACCTTGGCTGGTTGATGGCCATGATTGAGTGTTGACGTGTGCCTGGACGTGGGAGGAGATACTGACACCAGTATGCTGGTGACCTTGACATCCCTCAAGTCTGGGCTTGGGGCCCAAGCCTGTGACAGGTGTCCCAGGTTTTAAGAGGTCATGTGTTTTCTCTGAGTTGGGCAGGAGGTACTAGAAGGGGCTGTCGTGTAGGCAGAAGGTTCTGGTGTCCATGGGGCATTCCTTGCTCTCAAACACATTTTGGTTTAGAAAGCTATACTTTGAGCCTCTTCAATCACCTCCCCAGGTTGCAGGGCTCCTTTGTCTTCTTCCTCCTGTTGCTCATGACTTCTCCCTGGGCTCAGGCCAGCTCCCTGACTTCAGCCCTCTGCTGTGTGTGTGCAGGACTGGTTTCCAAAGTCATCCAAATAGAGTGAGTCTGCCTGGTTACTGAGAGTCCACAGTGTCTCCACGTGATTTCCTTGGAGAATGGCAGCCTCAAAGGTTGTACTTCTTTGAAAAGTTGTTTTTTCATTCTTGTATATTATATGAACATTATAAAAATTGGGAAACCCAAGTAATAAATAAGCAAAACTTAAAAAGAAATTGTTGCCCTGGCTGGTGTGGCTCAGTTGGTTGGAGCATCATCCTGTGCACTGAAAGGTTGTGGGTTTGATTCTCAGTCAGGACACCTGCTTGGGTTGTTAGTTTGGTCCCTGATTGGAGCACATATGGAGGTAGCTAGTCAATGTTTCTCTGTCACATGGGTGTGTCTCTTTCTCTCCCTTCCTCTTTCTCTAGTGTGTGTGTGTGTGCGCGCGTGCGCGTGTGTGTGTGTGTGTGTGTGTGTGTGTATCTTTAGAAGTCCTCAAAAGATAAACAATAAAGAGGTCAGTGCTTTAAAAAAATTATCCCAATTGTTGCTACCTGGAGATGCTGTTAATTGCTGAAGGCCTTTCAAGTGTTTTATACAAATTGAGTGTACACATACCAAATTTAAACATTTCTATTTTACATACTTTTAAGAATGCAGTGTAGCAAGCTTATATAACAGTGCTGTGATTGTAAGTGTATCTATAGTTTGATTATTACAAAATTACATGGATCCATAATCCAGACCCTTCTATAACCCTTCTCAGGGACCTTCCCATGCTTGAGGGGTGATCACCAACTTTGTCTTACCTATTTTTGAACATCACAGAAACAGAATTGTACCTGTACATTATTCTAATAAATATGAGATCTGTCCAGAAGGTATCCAGTCATGTAATATGGAAAATAGAGATATTTATTGAAGAAGACGCAAGCTTCAAGAAACATTGTACATAGGACAATGTTGCCTTAGTCCCCTTCAAAGTAGGCACCTTGGGACCTCACACAGTTCTGCTGATCACCATCAGCTGCCCTGTCATATTTTCCTGAATCTCATCAATGGTCTGACATCTCTTTCCTTTCAAAGGTGATGTTAATTTTGGGAAAATACGGAGTTTGCAGGGTGCCAGATCTGGATTATATGGGGAGCTGAGTCACCTGGGTGATTTGATGTTTTGCTAAAAAAACTCTTCATGAGATGTGATCCATGAGCAGGCACATTGTTGTGATGAAGTTGCCAGTCACCAGTTGCTCATAGCTACAGCCTTTTGAATCATCTGAATAGTTTCTGTGGAGGAATGTTCAAGCTTAATGCAAAATTTGACACAGATTCATAGCTCTACTCACTCAGCTATTTTGAATGCGATGACCACAGTACACATGCTCACTCAATGGCATCTTCTGCCCCCACTGACTAGTACAGTGAAGTCATTATTATTCATGAATGTGCATTCCAGTCCACTCTCCTTGGCTGCCAGGTTACATCAAGGTCACAGAGACCATTCTTGTTATATTAACAAATGCTGGAATTTTTCTGGACAGACTTCATCTCATATACACACACATACACACATAATAATATATGCATATTTATACATATGCATACATATACACACTCACATACATGCACGTGTGTAATTATATATTTATAAAAATGGGCTTATTCTATAAGCCCTATTCTGTGACCTTTTTCATCTGTATTTGTAAATACAGAGCTTCCTATTTTCTTATCAGTGATAGCATGGTATTCCATGGTCTGGGAGTGTCCCCCTGTATTTAACCATCTCAATACTGATGGACATTTAGGTTGTTTACATTTTATTTAGAATTATAAACAGTACTTTTATATGAGTAGCTAAAATCTTTTGTACATCCTTAAATATTTCCTTAAGATAAACTCCAGGAAGTGCACTGGCTAGGTCAGAGGGCACAGGTTTTCCTGGTTGCCCTGTGGCCCCAGTGTGTCCTCTGGTGTGTGACACAGTGCTGGGCCCCTCCCTGTGGGCACTGGGTATTCCAGGCCCACGGGCTGTCTATGGAGTTTGCAACCTCCAAGCTACTAAGGACAGCCCCCAAGCTGCCCCAGCCCCTTCTCCACAGCCATTCACCCTTTTTTCTGGGCTTTGGACTGGTACTAATCAGACTGTGTTTTATCTTCCAATAGCGTTGTGTGGTACTGCGTTTTCTGAAGTTTCCTCCCAACAGGAAGAAGGTAAGGTCTGTGCAGTTTGACACCCAGTCATTGAAACAATTACTTAAGAAAACATTGGTTTTATTTCTGATGTAGAAGCATTAATGCTAACTGTAGAAATTTAAAGGTGACACAACCATTCAGTGCAGAAAGTGGTGTGTCCCTTATTCCTGCAGGACCCAGTGCTTTGATTTGCTGAGGTCACTGTGGGTTTCTATGGTGAGACCCTGGGTGCTAAGCTAGGGGTCACCCTGTTCAGTTCCATGAGCCCTCCTGGTTGGCCAGGCCCCCCAAGACGAGGTCTCAGTTTTCCTGTGGTGATTTCCTTATACCCTGTTGCCTCTTGGAATTGTATGTATGAGAATAAAGCCTGTGATGCTGCCCGGTAGACAACATTACAAGTCACAACAGGCAGTTCAGATGGAGCGTGGGTTTCTGTTTGCTGAATCACTTTCAGAAAGCTGTTGCTGTTCGGTAGCACACTGGCCGAGCACTGAGTTGCAGTGTCTGTCTCCCTGGAGTGGGATATCACTCTAGTATTTATCTAAATCTCAGTAGTTGTAGGGGTCAATAAAGAGAGCCTTCTGGAGCCCTTTTTTGTGGTCCTTGGGGTGAGGGAGGGAAGCACAGAAGTTGGTGTGAGCTCTGCTCCAAAGCATAAGCTCTTACCTTAAAAAGGGGAACAAAGGCAGGAGCAGGGTTGGGAGGCTCACAGTCCTCATAGGGGGGACAGGGCAGGGGTGGTTGGGTGGTAAATGAAAATTGGGCAGAAGATTAGGGTATAGGAGAGGTACATCACTGCTTCATTTGAGTTAGGAGAGACAGCCAGAAAGGGAGGGGAGGTGACTGCTTATGGGCACTGGTGGTAGCCAATGGTGGAAGTGAAGGGCACACTCAGGGGTTAGCTGTGTAGAAAGAGAAGAGAGGTCTGTGGGAGAAAGTAAGGAGGGTGCTGCCATGTGATCTGGGGGTGGTTTGGTCAGTGCAGAGAAGGATGGCAAAAGATGGGAGGGCACAAGTGGAGGGACGCCTTCTCAGCTGCTAAAGAGAACTATACGGGGTATTGTGTTTCTGTGGAATCCAAGTGGAAACTAGAACCATCTGAGAAGCTGCCTCTAGCTCCCTCCTTCCCCACGCAGCATCTGCAAAGCCCAGACTCAGTGAAGGGCCAGCGTTCCCTAGATGTCTCTGTCAGCTTTTCCTGTTTTGATTTATTGAGGCATTGTCTTCCAAGGCAACAATTTGCCTTTATTTATTATATAAATGGCATGGTGTGATACCAGCTGCATTACCAGTGGGAAATCATGTGGTAATTCTACCTTTAAGAAGAGCTTTTTGTTAGAAGCTCAGTGGCCACAGCTGTATGGAGCCACCGGGTGTGTTCTGGGCTTTTCTATCAGGCTTCATTCTCATGCAGTCTCACTGCACGTGCCACAGGACGTTGGCTGTGGTCTGCACCTGTTACAGGTGCAGACAGCAGCTCAGTACAGGGCCTTTGTAGAGTTCAGGCCATGTGTCAAGCACCTCCTGACTTGTATGTAATGAGAAGGGCCCTCTTGTCCCTTGGAGAGACCCGTGACAGACCATTTGAACTTGTTGTCTCAGGTCAGAGGGAGGGACACAGGGCTGATTTTCTGTCTCACCCAAATCTTCACAGCTTGTTGGGTCCTTAAGAATATCGGATTTGGTATACAACATTTTATTCTCTATTTAGAAGCTGAAGAATAAAATCTAAATACCCAGTGATTTTTGGACAAGAGAGATTTTCAAAGTCCAGTTCCTTGGAAGGTGTGCAAAGGCTGCTGGTGGATCCCCAACAGTTCCTGGTGGGGGAGGGGGTGGGCACAGGTGTGGGCCACATGGGCCTGGGTAGAAGGTGGAGGTGGGTCTGGGGGACCGAGGGCACAGAAGCTCTAGTGAGTCCAGCAGTCTTTGTGGTGAGGCTTACCTTCCTCCAAGTCCAGGGCCACCATCTTCTGTTTGTGGCCACAGACATGGCAGCCCTGCATGTAAGGGGCTCTTTATGGTGTCAGAGTCCACTCCTTCCATACTTCCTTGGAGGTCTTGGTTGCTAAGGTGTGCCTATTATTCTTTTTTACAGACCTCAGAAGAAATATTTCAGCATCTACAGAACATAGTAGACTTTGGCAAAAATGTCATGAAGGAGTTTTTGGGAGAGAACTACGTTCATTGTGGGGTAAGTGATTTTTATTTATGTAGTCTACAATCATGGGAAAGATCTGTATCAATAATACCAACTTCTCAATTATAGTTTGTAACTTTGTGTTTGATGAAAACTACTCATATTAATGACAGAGTTTCCAAGTGTTTGGTTTTTCTCATTTGCTGCATTGAGAGGTAGCAGTGCAGATAGTATTTTCCCATTTTCTACCAGAAAAGCCTGAGGTTCAAAGAGACCAAGTGAAACTCCTGCTTGCCGGGATACCCAGTCTCCTCCACTCTGCCTTCATGTAGACATTCAGCTTAGTCAGGGCTCTGGAGTGAGGTCCAGACAGCATCCCTGGTCCCAGTGCATGTGGGCAGTCTTCACTGCTGGCTCTCTCTGGTCTGCAGCTTGGATAGTTGGGGAGAGGCAGTGCAGGGAACCACAGTGGCTATTATCTATACCTGGGATGGCTGCTAGACTTCTGCTGGGCTTGTCTCAGATTAGAGCCATGCTCTGACCAGTAGGTTTGTCACTTTGAACACAGAGTATAATGCTTCTGTTTTGCAAATACTGTACCTTGTGTCCATTCTGAAAAAAATGACACTAAAAGGAGATCAAGGGAAAGGTTTTTTTGAAGCATAAGGGTTGCTTGGTAAAGTAGAATTTAAATGGCTCTAACAGCAAAACATCCTCCAAGAAGGGCCCTTTGACAAGCTTAGGATGTACTATGGGTGGTGCTGCTGGGCACTGTCAGGGCTGCAGTCTCAGTTGAAGGCATCAGACCGCTTCCCAGGGCAGCCCAACCATGCAGCAGGCAGGCTAGGCTCACCGCAGGGCTCTGAGTACCCTTGAGACAGCCCTGATTCACCCAGCACTCGATCTGAGAAATGACCTGGACCAGAGTTGCATCTGTCATTTCCACAGTATGTGGTGGCTTTACAGGCCAAACCCAGGCAGTGTGGGAGGGACTACACTGTCACTAGAGTCATTTGGCCATCCTTGGTGCTGGCACTGCACTCAGTGAGGTCTTTAGCTGTTTAGTTGAACTGTGGGAGCCTCGTGTCTCTGAACCACCTGCTCTGGGTGTTGCCTGATTCTTGGCCAGGATGGTGTCTGAGTGAATGCGAGTATGCCGTTACATATTTCTCCTTGAGGAAATGTCCCCACTTGACTCATCCGGCCAAGTGGGAGCTTTTCTCTCTATCATAGCATCAGGGGCTCTAGACCTTTCTCCTGAAAGGGTCACAGTGATGAAGAGTGGTGGGAGCTTGGGTCAGGCAAGGATTGCCTGGCAAGTGGGAGCAGCATCAAGATGTTTCCCTGGGCGCAGGGCATACATGCCCTGGTTCCAGGTTTGGTTCTTTTTGTCCACAGTGGATGGGGCTGTGCGCATGTAAGGTGAGCCACAAGGTCACATTCTGGGAATATTCATCCCATTGACATGCCTTCTCGATATGAAGACAACACCAAAGTGAATACAGCCTGCTTTTCCTCCATGTGGATGTGATGTGTCCAGGGGGCTGCCACTGAGGCCCTGGCATGGTTGGAATGTGGCATACAGAGCACATCTCTGATCTGCATAAGACTACACACAGGCAAAACTAGCATGTATAAATGCCACTGTTTTCTCTGACCACTGACATGAAGTAGGGCAAATTGGACCGCAGGTGAGCATTTCCCTTCTCTGTATCCTGGGATGAGATAACAGACCAGCCCAGTGGTAAGAGTAGGAGGCCCAGACAGAGTGATAGACACACCTCTCGTGCCCATGCTGCCTCTGGGCCTGCCTAGCTGGTTTGGGGACTAGTCTGGTCCAATCTCCATGTGAGCTGGAGGTCAGGAAATGGGGAAGAGGGTCTTTTTTCATGCCCACAGATGTTTACATCTTAAATACTGGGGATAGTTGAGATACTGATCGAATTTCAGAAGTTTACCTCACTTTCATGGACCCAGTCCTCCCAAGGTTGAATGCCCCTGTGTGGCCTTGACTTCTTACTTTATTTTTATTTAATATTTTATTTATTTATTTTTAGAGAGAGGGAAAGGGAGGGAGAAAGAGAAGGAGAGAAACATCAATATGAGAGAGAAACACTGATCGGGTGCCTCTGAGATATGCCCTGAGTGGGTACTAAAGCTGCAGCCCAGGCATGTGCCCTGACCAGGAATTTAACCGGCAACCCTTCACTTTGCTGGATGATGCCCTACCAACTGAGCCATACTGGTCAGGGTTTGACTTCCCACTTTAACTTGACGTGATGGAAGCATTGGCCTGGCCACTGCACACAATGAGTGAGGGGATGCTGTTCTTCTGAGGGAGCTTTTACAAGACTGTAGACATGCTGCTTACCTGCCAGACCCCTTCCAGTCTTGGTGGCTCTTTGTACTTTTCTGCAGCCATCACTTCATCCCTTTGAGGGCAGGTGCTTGTCAGCAGGGAAGCTGGTGTGGCCACACCTTTCAAGTTAAACTTCCTTGAGAGGAATTTTATGGTCCTGACTATAATTTTTCCTAAGTTAATACTTTGGGCAGGTGCTGGCCAAGTGCCCTACTGAGATCACCATCTTCCCAGGGTCCTGTAGGTGTTGTCTGTCCACCCATGGCATGGTGTACATGATTCATGAGTCTGAACCAAAGGTTGGTAAATGTAGCCAGATGTTAGAAAGGATGCCTACTCTGAACATTTTATTCTGACTTAAAACACAAATAGAACTCATTATAAAATCAGGAATTTAAAGTTGCTTAAAGAAATAGTTCTGTTTTTTTACCTTGGTGACTAGATTTAAGGGGGGCAGTTCATAGATGCTGTGTCAAGAGTAGTTGAGCCACTTTTGGCTCTGACCTTGATCCTGTCTGCTCCTCTCCAAGTTTTCTGTCACTGCATTGATGATTCCGGCATGGGCCATGACTTCCTTTCCCAGCTGGGGAGCGTCACGACTCCTGCCATGCGGAGATCTGAGTCATTGTGCTTGCTCTGATGTTCATGCATTGTTTCTGGGATGTGCAGGGCTAGATGTTTCTTTGAGAGATGAACTGGATGCAGTTTTTTACCTTCTGTGTGCAGCATCCCTTATCTGCCATCTGCCCACTACGTACCTTTGGTTTTTTCTAAAGTGGAGTGAGCAAGAACTTGGACTTTCATGAGATGGTCTAAGTTTTGAATTTTCAAATTTTTGTAAGTCCCACTCTTTTTCATTGTTTCATCTTATCTAATTCAGAACTAAATTTTTAGCAACTCACTTTTTATCAGTTTATAGCATGTGTAGGTAAATGACAAAACCATGGGTTAAGCTGGCACAGCAGACTGGGAAGTAAACAATTGGCTGGACTAGGGCTGACTGCAGAAGCATGTCTGTATGAGAGGATGGCCTCAGGCCTGAGGGCAGGTCAGCCACAGACTGGTACTGATGCACAGGTGGGGCAGGGTAGAATGGAGAAGGTGTGGTGTATCAGCATTTAGGGTCTTGGCATTTATATTCTAGGCTGATCTGTTGTGTCCCATTGGGACTTCTTCAGAAGTCAGAAATCTACCACCCTGGAAACACAAGGAAGATAGTGAGCAACATGGAACAAAAACTTATTTCAGGAAATTATAAGGAAATGGCAAATTGAAGAGAAGTTGCTCTTTGTTTTTCCCCCCAATGCACTGCATATTGGACCACCGTGAGTCTAGTGGCTAATGAGCACACTGGAATTCTCACCTGGAGGTTAATACTTGATTAGAACCTTTCCCTTGAGCTATTTCTCAGGTGGGAGTGTGAGAAGCCTCAGGTGTTCTGCAGAGGTAATTGGTGAGGAATATTTGTGCTGGCATAGAACTGCCTCAGGCCCTGCTTTGTGGCCCACAGACACTTGAGGACAGAGTTAAAGTCTCAGTGAGGACAGAGGAGGTGCTTGGTGGAGACTGACTGTGGGTGATCATCACCAGCATGGACACCAGCTGCTCTGAATGTATGAAAAACATTAGTGTCTGTTTCATCTGGACATGCCCTTAAAATAGAAGAGAAGCTTTATTCCTGAGGCCCACATCTGAGTACTTTTTTTAATGTGCTAAAATATACATAGCATAAAGTGTACCATTTTAACCATCTTTAAGTGTGTGCTTCTGTGGCATTAAGTACGTCCACATTGTTGTGCAGCCAAACTGAACATTTTGTATTTATCCTTACAGGAAGTGGTTCAGCTGCCTTTAGATTTTGTGAAACAGCTTTGTTTAAAGATACAGTCTGAAAGACCAGGTAAGGGTTTTAACTTATAAGCTCTTTTTGTAATTTAAAATATCCCATTTGAAAAGTGTTAGACATTGTTACTCTTATTAGGTAGACACAGTTTTTGGCAGTTCTTTCACCAGAAACTTTGATTATCAGAGGTAGAAATCTCAAGAGCTCACAGTTCTGGGCATCGGATATCCAGGTCACTGCAGAGAATATATGACCAAGAACTAATTAATAAAAACAAATATGTACTTGGGAGAGAGAGGAAGCTAAAGGAATTAGGGGAGACTTAGGGTAGAGACGGTAGGCTATAGGGAGGCCTGGAGGAGGAGTCAAAATGAAAACCAAGGTAGACCCAAACCACGGAGGATGGGCCAGGCCCTAGCAGGTCTGGAGCTGGAGGACCTTCTCCTCGAGCTGAATCCACCCAGCTTGCAGATCCCCCTGGGGGAAGATAGGAGATGTTGGCCATGCCAGCCCCCATCATCTCATGTATTTTCCACACCTCCTGTACTCACATACGCCCCCCCATACACTGACTCTAAAAGCTGTACTTGGACAGTTACAGAACAGCCATGTGGCCTCCAGACCCCTAGAGTCAGTGCTAAGGAAATAGCGGTGCTTGCGGATTCTGAAGGAACCAACAAAACGAAGGTAGAGGCTGGTTCCTCCTTCCACTCTGTGTTCCTGAGTTAAGGGACTCACAGAATTGGGAGGCAGTCCCCAAGACCACCCTCACTTCTGATGACAATTGAACCTTTTGTGGATCCCCAGGAACAAGTTCAGGATCTGATAATTTTCTGGAAGGACCCATAGAACTCACTGTTGTCCTCATGGTTATGGCTTATCACAGCTAAGGGATAGAGATTAAGACCAGCTGATTAAAGAGGTGCGGGGGACAGGTCCAGGGAAACCAGCATGAGCTTCCAGGTGTCCTTTCCTATTAGAGTTGTGCGGATGGTGCTTATCTCTTCCAGCCATAGTGTGTGACCACAAGGAGGAAAGCCAAGCATGGAGGCTGCCCAAGCCCCAGTGTCAGGGTTTTTCTGGGGATTGGGCATGTAGACCCAGCTGACTAGCTGCCCTCAGTCTCCAGCCTTCTGGAAGTTGAGCTGATACTGTAAGACCCATAGCCCTATCATATGTCATAGTGTTACACTCATGTGACTCAAAGACCCCAGAACATTCCTCAGGTAGGACACCCCAAGACTTAGAACTGGAGGCCAAGGCTAGCCCTTTTGGGCAAGGCTGACCTTTCCTTAACAGGAATTTGTGAAGTTATCATGGGATCATCTTGTATCTTGCACTGATCCTCAGGTATTTTTCTTACTGTTTTCCAGAATCTCGCTGTGACAAGGACCTGGACACTCTCAGTGGTTATGCTCTGTGCCTTCCCAATTTAGCCAGACTTCAGACCTACCATTTTGCTGATCATCGACCGATCCTGTGTGTAGAGATCAAGGTGAGTTTTGTCAAGGGGAAAGTGATGTGGGGAGAGGAGCGAGGTGGGTTCAGGTTGTAAATTCATGGCACCTGCCTAGAGTGCACTTTACCACAGAAACTCCTGGTGTTCCTCACACTGGGGCCCACAGCTCCTTCTCAGAGATCCCCAACTTCTAGGGACTCAGCTTGCTTCCTGCTCCTTCCATGTGTGTCACCTGGTTTCTTCCACCAGTCAGATCTGAGGGACATGGCTCCCCAGACCCCCAGATTTAGGCTTATTCCCAGGTGTTTTGATGGGGAGCCAGCTAGGGACAAGCCCTGTCCAGGGTTCCACCCTCCCTGTTTTCTTTGGAGGGTGCAGCTCACCAGCCGCCCTGACCTTCCCTGCCATGTCCTCTTGGCAACATGGTGACACTGCATGCTGTGTTCTAGGAGGCTAGCTTGAGGGTTGCCTCTCAAACTGGGTGGCACTCTGTTCTTTTGTTTCTGTCCTACTCAGTAGAGATCCTCCCCAGAGGCACAGGAACCTATGTGACTCTCAAGGCCCTGGTTTGTTGTGGTCAAGGCTTCTAAGTTGGAGTGACAAAGGGCATCACTCTTCTAGTGGAGGGAAGTGATTGCTGGATAAGGGCCAGGCTCCCAGCTTTAGCTCTGCTGTGCAGTGTCCAGTCTGGCTGCTCAAGTTTTCCTTCCCAGATGTCCCAGGCCACTGTTTGTCTCCTTCCAAATCTCTGTGTTGGTGATTTTTGGGTCATACCCTTGGTTCTGAGCAACCTCTGTGCTCAGTGGGGCCTAATAATCTATTTTCGCATCCAGAGAGTGAGTGTCTTAGGCATCACAAACAATTGTGGCATGTTCTTCATTGCCCCAGTGCTAAGAGCAGGTCTCACATGTTGTGCGTGCCCAGAAACTGTGGCTTTTAAAAGGCAACTGGGGTTCCAGACATTTTGGGAGCCTGGCAGCCATCAGATGGGCAACTTCCCATTCACAAATTCTTGTCAGAGGGAACAAGAGTTCTGCTTCTTACAGCTGGGAATGTGGGGGCAAATCTGCACTTTCTAATCTCCTACTGTCTTGAAAACACAAGCAACTCTGTTGTACTTTTCAATCTAGCAACTGAGAAGCCATCTTTTTCCAGTAAGAGTTCTGACTCTCTAACAGCAGAGAGATGATTATATAATGTGACAAGGGAAGCATCAGTTTCCTTGTGGGACTAGAGAGAAAAGCAACTTTGGGAATATTTTTCTAACATTTGCTGCTGCTACTCCTCAGTGTTGCCTTGTAGTTAGTTATGTCTATTTAAAGGTATGTGATTTCTCCTTAAGCAGTTTTTCTTCCTATTTATTTTGCAGCCAAAATGTGGGTTTATTCCTTTATCCAGTAATGTTACGCATGAGATGAAACATAAGGTGTGCCGTTACTGCATGCACCAGCACCTCAAGGTGAGGAGAGCCAACCAGCCCACATCCCTCCCTACAGAGCTGTGTGGAGGGTGGTTGGGCCTGAGGTGTGACCACATAGGTTATCAAAAGAGTGAAAGAAAATGTAGATATTTATTATTTACTTTTTATTTCACAAGTACTTCATTGTTTACTTTTCTGTTTTGTTTTGTCTTAAATTGGGATAAAATTCACTTACCATAAGGTTCACCCTTTTAAAGTGTATAATTTAGTATATTCACAGAGTTGTGCAACTGTTACAACTATCTAATTTTAGAGCATTTTCCATCCATGTTTTGTAGTGTATATCAGCAATTCATTCCTTTTATGGCTGATTAATATTCCATTGTGTGGGAACATTTTGTTCATCCATTCATCTACTGATGAACATGTGGCTTGTTTCCACCTTTCGGTTGTGAATAATGTTGCTATAAACGTGTGTACGTGTACTTGTTTGAATCCTTGTGTTCTCTTCTCTTAGGTACATTCCTTGGAGTGGAATTACTAGGTTTCAGGAAGTTCTGTGTTTAACTTTTTGAGAAAACACCAAACTGTTTTTCCCAGCCGTTGCACTACTTTGTATTCCCACTAGCAACGTATGAATGTTCTGATTTCTCCATATCTTTGCCAACCCTTGTTGTTGTCCCTGTTTGTGGTTATAGCTATCCTACTGGGTGTGCAGTGGTATCTCATTGTGGTTTTCATGTGTATATCTCTAACACTGATGTTGAGCATCTTTTCATGTGCTTCTTGTGCCATTTGAATATCTTCTTTGGAGCAATGTTTATTTTAATTCTTTGCCCATTTTAAATTACTTTGTTTTTCTGTTATAGAGTTTTATGTGTTCTTTGTATATTCTGGATATTAATCTCTTATCAGATACGTGGTTTGCAGATATTTTTTCCTCTTCTGTCTGTTGCCTTTTTACTCTGATGGTAGTATCCTTTGACGTACAAAGTTTTTACTTTGAACAAAGTACGATTTGTCTACTTTTTCTTTTGGTGTCATATCTAAAAAATCATTGCCTGATCCAAGGTCATGAAGCTTTTTTCCTATGTGTTCTTCTAAGAGTTTTAGTTTTAGCTCTTACATTTAGGTCTTTGATTCATTTTGAGTTAATTTTTGTATATGATGTTAAGTAGGTGTCAAACTTCATTCTTTTGCATGTGGATGTTCAGTTTTTCCAGCACCATTTGTTGAAAAGACTATTCTTTCTTCATTGAATGGACTTGGTACCCTTATCAAAGATCTTTTGGACATATGTGTGATGGATTATTTCTGGGCTCTCTATCCTATTTTATTGTTCTATACATCTGTCCTTATACTAATACTACACTCTTTTTTTTTTAAGATTTTTATTTATTTATTTATTTTCAGAGAGGGAAGGGAGAGAGAAAGAGAGAGAGAGAAACATCAATGTGCGGTTGCTGGGGGTCATGGCCTGCAACCCAGGCATGTACCCTGACTGGGAATCGAACCTGCGACAGTTTGGTTCACAGCCCGTGCTCAATCCACTGAGCTATGCCAGCCAGGGCCTAATACCACACTCTTGATTGCTGTAGCTTTGTAGTAAGTTTTGAAATTGGGAAGTGTTAGTCCTCTGGCTCTGTTCTTTTTCAAGATTGTTTCGGCTATTTGGAGGCCCTATACAATTACAGTATTTGGCTGTGTGTGATTCACTCCCTTATATAATGTGCACCCATGGTTTTGGCCCAAACTTTCAGGAAAAAAATCTTTTGTATTAATTTTTTAATTCAGTTATTTTTTATTTATATTTAGATGCTTGTTTTTGTATTACAAAGGAATTTTAGCATTTATTTTTTAACACATTATGGCACAAGAAATTTTCTGTAACAAATACAAAACACAAAAATGGATACAAGGTATTTCAGGTGCTACCCATGTATAATGTGCATCCTTATTTTTCCCTCAAAAATTTGGGCAAAAAAGTGCACATATACATGGCAAAATATGGGACATATGAATTTGAGGACTGGATTTTTCATTTTTGGAAAGCATGACTTAGAACTGTGACAGAAATTGCAGGCATCTGTAGATCACTTTGAGAAGTATTGTTATCGTAACAGTATTGTCTTATAATCCATGAACACAGGCTGTCTTTCTACTTATAAAGGTTTTTCTTTAATTTCTTTCAGCAGTGTTTTGTAGTTTTCACTATACAAGTCTTTCATTACTTTGGTTAAGCTTATTTGTAGGTATTTTATTATTTTATAATACTACAGATGTGATCATAAGTGGAACTGCTTTCTTAATTTCCTTTTGGGAGCATTCATTGCTAGTGTATAGAAGTACAACTAAATTTTTCTGTTGACCCTGCAACCTTGCTGAATTTCTTTTTCTTTTCTTTTTTTGTTTTATTTATTTATTTTTAGAGAGGAGGCGGGAAGGAGAAAGAGAGGGACAGAAACATCAATGCGTGGTTGCCTCTCATGTGCCCCCTATTAGGGACCTGGCCTGCAACCCACACATGTGCCCTGGGCTGGGAATTGAACCCACAACCCTTTGGTTTGCAGGCCCACACTCAATTCACTGAGCTATACCAGCCAGGTCCTTTGCTGAATTTCTTATTAGCTGTAGTAGCTTTCTTGTAGATTTTTTTGAATTTTCTATGTACAGGATCATGTCATTTGTGAATAGAGAGTTTTATTTCCTCCTTTCCAATTTAGTTGCCTTTAACTTCTCAATTTGCTCAAAGAAGTCAGAAGGGTTTTTTGATAGGGATCCCATTGAATTGCAGGTCAATTTGGGAGGTATTGCTAGCTTAACAGTATTAGTACTCTGAACAACAGGTTGTTTTTCCATTTATTTAGGTATTTAATTTTCTTCATTGATGTTTTGTACATTGTTTACAGTGTGAAAGTCTTCGTTTGTTAAATTTATTTTTTTTGGATGCCATTGTACATGGAATTTTCTTTTATTTCATCTTTAGATTTATTGCTTAGCAATGCAGTTGATTTTTAAAATTTATATTTTTTTCAAGAACTTTTTTTTGTTGATTTGAGAGAGGGAGAGAGAGACATCAATTTGTTGTTCCACATATTTATGGTTTCATTGGTTGTCATGTGTATGTGCCCTGACTGAGGACTAAACCCACAATCTTAGAGTATTGGGATGACACTTGAACCAACTGAAACTACCTGGCCAGGGCTCTAAAATGTACATATTTTTACCTTTGGTGAAATACACAAAACATAAAATTCACCATCTTAACCATTACAGGTCACTTGCATTAAGTACATTTACCTGGTTGTGTAACCATCACCATCATCTATGTCTAGAACTTTTTCATCCTGCAAAACTGAAGCTCTATGCCCAGTTCCTGGAAACCACTATTGTAGTTTTTACCTCTGTGAATTTGACTACTGTTGGTGCCTCATATATGTGGAATTATGCAGTATTTGTCCTGTTGTGATTGGCTCATTTTCGCTTAGCATAATGTCCTCAAGGTTTATCCATGCTGTACCATGTATCAGGATTTCTTTCCTTTTGAAGGATGAATTGAACTTGGGTTGCTTCCATCTTTTGGCTATTGTGAATAATGCTGCTAGGAAGATGAGTGTACACATCACTCTGTTTTTGAGTATATACTCAGAAGTCAAATTGCTAGATCACATTGTAGTTCTCTCTTTCATTATGAGGAGCTGCCATTCTCTTGTCCACAGTGGCTGCACCATTTTACACTCCCCTCACAGTGCACAAGAGTTCCAGTCTCCCCACATCCTCACTAAGACTTTTCTGTTTTTGGTAGTAGTCATCCTAATGAGTGTGAGGTGAGAAATGCAAATAGTTTTTGCATATTGATTTTTTTTTGTGGAAAGAGGCTTATTTCCTAGGTATTGTGCACAACAAAAACGCTGCCTGTTTATCCTGTGCCCTCACCCTCATCCTAGTGTAGGACACTTTCACAGTTGGCATATTTCCCTTCTTAATGTGGCTGTAGCTAGTGACCAATGTGATGTTAACAGCTCCTCTAAGACTGTAGTCAGCTGCCAAAGTTCTGATGGAGGGCAGGGAATAAAGTGGAGATAGAATGCCAGTGCTAGTAACTCTTCTACGTGGCCAACTTCTGACTCAGCTCTTCTGAAGCATTTCTTCTGTTCCCTTCCATTGGAGCAGTTATTGGTCCAACTCCACAAAGCCATGGCAGGGGCTGGACTTTCTTTTATGTGGCTCATTTACACTTAAGACCCAGTCAATCAGAAAAAAATGCAGTCTTGGTCATCATTGACCTGACAACCTTATCTTGGATATTTTTTAGTGTTCAGTAGAAACAATTCTAGGCATTTTAAGCAGAAAAGTTTAAAACAGGAAATTGAGTGTTTAGAGACTCATTGGAAGGCTGGAGGAGTAAGCTATAGGTTGTTCTCCAGGAATCAGAACATCAGACAACTGACCCAGCAAGGTAGCTACTGCCTTTAGCACATCAGGAATGGGAGGGAGAATCAGGAGAGAGATACTGCATAGAACATCCAGTACATCCACCAGAACATCCTGCATAGCTGTAGTCCAGGGATCAGGAAATCCCCATAGGCTCAACTGCCTTTGAAGAACCACAGAGTAAAGATTGGACCCTGAACACCTATAGGGAAAAAAAAAAAGCCCCTCACAGAATGAGTACCTACTGTGTGCTGCATATTAACCTTTAATCCTGTTACCATTGATGAACTTGCTTAGTTGCTCTAGTTTTTCTTGATGGTTTCTTAGGATTTTCTATATACATGATCAGATCATTTGCAAATAGAGGTAGTTCTAGTTCTTTCTTTCCAAGCTGGATGCTTTTTATTTGTTTTTCTTCCCTAGTTGCTCTAGTTAGAACCTAGGGTACAATATTCTATAGAAGTAGCAAGAGTCTTGTTCCTGATCTTAGGGGGATAGCTTTCAGTGTTTCACCATTGAATGTCATGTTAGCTGTGAGTTTGTCATAGACCTTCTTCTTTAGTGTGTTTTTTTAAATGATGAAAGGATGTTGGATTTTGTCAAGTACTTGTCCTACATTGAAATGATCATGAGGTGCTTTCCTCCCTCTAGCAACATGGTGAATTACACTGATTTTCATATGTTGAACCACTCTTGTGTGTCTGGGATTAATCCCACTTGATTGTAGGTGGATAATCCCTTTAATATGCTGCTGAATTTGATTTGTTAGTTTTTGTTAAGGATTTTTTCTTAAGAAGTATTGGTCTATTTAACCCCTCTGGAGATTGCTGGCCTTCTTTTTTCACCATGATTGGGGCTGTTGGTTTTCAGGGTTCCCTTGGAACTAGAAAGGGGATGGGAATAGAGCAGTAAAAGTGCCACAAAGCTCAGCTCTTACTTAGATTTGGCTGTTTTTCTTTAATAAATGCTCCCCAGGTTGTTGTAAGACTTTCAGAGTTATGAAAATTGTAATTGATTCCTCTAGTTTTTGCCAGTTTTCTCATTGCCCATATGGAGGAGAGGTTTTCTAAAGGTTCTTACTCCACCATTTTTGCTGACTTAGTGCCTACTCAGTTAATTGATAAAATATGGAATTGTATGAATTAGGTCACCTGTCTTCCAGAGGTAACTCATGTTGTCAGTTTGTACATCCTTCCAGACTTTTCCTGTGCCAAATAAACATGGTATCCGGTGAAAATGAGGTGATGCTTGCCTCTATGCATATTCTAATGTGTGTTCATATGTGTGTGTCTACACATTTCTAAAGCAAATATGGGGTCTTGCCATATGTAATTGTTCTGCTAATTCTTTTTTTCACTTAAATAATCCTTGAGGATTGTTTGTTTATCCTTCAAGAAGGTTTTTTCTTTGCATATTTGGATATATGCATAGTCTGCACATAATTTTTCTTTTTCTTTTTTTTTTTTTAGCAAAAGTGACATATGTTTTGTTCTGTAAGTTGCTTTTTGACTTGAATAAATCTTGGTGATTTTAGCTCTACCTCTTTCCTTTAGTAGCTGCATGTCATTATTCATTCTTTCATTCAGCATGTGTCCTGCTGTGTTCTGGCCCCTGAGAGCAGCTCTGCTGTGACTTACTTATTTGTTTCTAGGTCTTGCTGTTATAGTGAGGCAGCAGTGAACATCCTTGACCCTGTAATTCCTTGTATATTTTCCAAGTCAGGGGACACCTGCTTTTTAAATTTTGATGAACACCAGCAAGTTGCCTTTTCCATTTTTTATCTCACTGACATGAAATTACTTATTAGCCATACCCTCCCCTTCCAAACCAGATTTTTTTATCTGATTACCAAAATTTAGTCATGTCACTCTTAAAATGTGCTTGCTGCATCCCTGTTCATGTGGAGGACTGAGTTGGCAGCCCTGTGAGGCTCTTACAGGAGGGCAAAGGTTTCCTGGGGTTGGTGATGTGTACCCAGAGATGGTGACATCTGCTGGAACCTTCATCATCTTAGTCACTTCAGCTGTTCTGTGTTACAGTTAGCCCAATGCTGTTCTCAGTCCAATTGCTGACACAATGTGGTGGGTTTTTAACAGGTGGCAACTGGGAAATGGAAGCAGATAAGTAAATATTGTCCCCTTGATCTCTACTCAGGGTAAGAGAACACGTCTACTTTGTCCCAGTGCCATCTTCCTTGGAGGTGGGGTGGTTGGGAGTGTTTTGTGAAGGTGGGGTGATGTTCTCTGATGGGGAGTTGGTGGGTATTCTGTGAGATGTGTTTGGGGGTATTCTGTAAGGAAGGGTTTGTCAGGGGAGGTGTTCTATGAAGTGGGAACCATGGCTGGGGCATTCTGTGAGGTGGAGTGATGTTATGTGAGGGGGTGTTGGGGGTATTCTGTGAGGTGGGGTTGATGGGTGTGTGTTCTATGAGGTGAGGGAGGTACGGGTTTAGGGGTGGGGCAGGCATTCTGTGAGGTGGGGACTACTGGCCCCTGTATAACCAGGACCCTGGGCAGGGCTCAAGTTTTTGCCTGGGGTCAGGGTTCCCTCTACTGATTCCTGCAAGTAACCTGGCAGAGCCAGCAGCTGGGAAGATGTTGCTACAAGATGAGGTCTGAGAGCAGGGTGTGGATTAGGGGCAGTGATGGGAGTGCCTCTGCAAGACGGCTGGGGACAGTATAGCTCCTTAATCTGGAAAACTGGGAGACCTGGAGCAGGAGCTCCTGGGCATGTCCCCTGAGCCATGAGTTGGGAACCACAGGCAGATGAATGCAAAGACTGCTTCTAATTCTATCAGTAACCCTTCCCCCTTTTAGGAATAAACAGAGAATGTACTTTGCCTTGAAAAGCTTGTTGCAGGAGGCACAGAACAACTTAAAGATATTTAAGGTAAGAGTTGCTTCTATTTTATGGCCCTTTTGGGGGAGACAGCAGGTGTCTGGACTGAGCTGGGTGGTGCGCTCATGGCACTCTTGTCTCTTTGACCTTAAAGATGGGGACATCTGGGCTGGGTCTGCCTTGGCATGGTTCTTTGGGTCTACTTTCCAAGTCCCATTCCATGAGTATGACATCCTTTGATTCCTCTGTTGTGTGATGTTGACTCCTTGACCACTAGGTGGCCTCAGGCTCCCCTGACACACAGACCTGACTGGTTCTTGGATGATGATGATGGCCCTAGCATGGTCAGGCTGCATCTCAGGCATCCTTCTCTGTATCTCTGTGTCCTGTGTGGTTGAGGTGGGAGAAGCAACTAGGGTGGCACAGTGGCACAACCTAGAGGGTGGCCACACCTGTGCATTTGCTCCCAATTATCTTAGGGAGCTTGTAATTTGAGAACCTCTTTGTCAATGAGTAAATTCTGTCCTGGCCTCACAGGAAAATGGTTCATCCATCAGCCAGCCCAGACATCCTTGGCTTTCTCCTTGCCACCTGCAGCTGGCACCCTGATTGGACTCACTGAGGCCCTTTGGTAACCTGGCCTGGTGCTGGCAGGAATTGGACCTCAGGGGTGGGTACAGGAAGGGGAGAAGAGGTCTTGCCCAGATCTGGAAGAGAACTACTTGTGACCTCTGTTGGAAATGTGTCCCCTGGGGTCCCCTTTGTCATCTCGTTTTCTCTTTGCCACTGACTCTGTCTTCAGTCCCAATTATGTCCTAATTAAGAGTGACACATGTGAGAGTTTGCAACAGGCTTGCAGGGATCACATGTTTGGAGAAGCAGGCTGTTGGATCTGGACAGCTTGTGTCCTCTGTGTCCTGCTCTATGTGAACAGCTCTGTTCTGCACACTGTTGCCCCTCAGATGGGCGCTGGGGTTGGGGTGTGGCTTTCCCCCATCTGACTCAGAAATTTGGTCAGAGTGAATTGAGTTTACCCTGTTTGCTTCCACTTTCCCAAATCTAGAAAAGGAGGACATATTCAAAATCAGTTTATGTTTTTAATTTTTATGAGGAGTTCAGGAATTTTATGTTTACATTTGGGAGATAAATTTCCTTTCATCTGGGGGTTTATTTAGAACCTATAGTAAGACTGACATTTTGTCTCCAGGGGACCCTTTTCTGACTGCCTGGCCTGGGCTGGACTGTCAAGCCCACACTTAGGCAGAGTGGTAGGTCTGGCTTGGCCCCTGGATAGTCTGCCTTGCCCTGGGCCCATGGCCTGGGTTTGAGAGCCTGGATGTCTGCTGCTTCTGTTTAAATCAGCATGGAAAAAAAATCATAGGTTGAGATAATAGGTTCAGAAGAATGGATTTTAAAAATAATATCTAGAGCAACACAGTACATTTTCATAAGTGCCATTATAATGAGCAAGCTCTCTGGTTCTGAATCTCAAGTCTTCCGTCATTGTGAAGTTCTGGGTGTCGTGATCAGTGCTGGCATTATTATATTGTCAGTCCAAATGTTCATAGACTCCAGAGCTGTGTCTCTCTCCAGCCCAACACTGGTTACTTGTGAAACTTGCAGGGGAACACATGGAATAAGTCATGGAGCCTAGGTTGATGCCTCTCCTCCAAATGTCACATGAGGTCCTTGAGCAACTGTAATTGTACATGTAAAACTCCCCTCTATCTGAATTCCAGACACTAGGGAGAAGAGGCCTTCTGCTTCCAGGGGTCACTCGGCCACTCATGGGCTGAGAGGACCAGCTTCAAGGTGGGCCAAGGGTATAGCCCCATGATTCGTGGCTTCATCTCATACTTATTCTTGGCCTGTTTTCCTTCTGGGAGCTACTGCCTTACATTTGCCTGGCACACCCTCCTCCCACTATAAGGCTGATCTCAAGGGTCATTGTCTGTTGATGGTTTTTCCAGTCCTGTGGCTGGCAGTGGACCTAGTTGTGTCCGTCTCATCCTGGACACTCATACTGTGAGCTCTGACAGTGCAAAGAGAGGCTGGCTTCCTAGGGGTTGGTGTTGCTGAATCTCATGACCTTGCTGAGGAACAAATGTCCTATGTTTCTTTTTTATTTTAAGTATATTTTGTTGATTATACTATTACAGTTGTTCCATTTTTTCCCTTCCCTTTTATCCCCCTCTACTTTATACTCCCCCTCCCTCTATCATTCCCCCCCCACCTTTATTTCATGTCCATGGGTTATATACATAAGTTCTTTGGCTTCTCCATTTTCTATACTATTTTTAACCTTCTCCGATCTATTTTTTTGTGCCTATCAATTATGTTTTGTATTCCCTGTACCTTTTTCCCCATTTGCCCCATCCCTGCTGATAACCCTCCATGTAATCTCCATGTTTTTCTTTTTTAAAGATTTTACTTATTTATTTTTAGAGAGAGGGGAAGAGAAGGAGAAGAAAGGGAGAGAAACATCAGTGTGTGGTTGCCCTTCATATACCCCCTACTGGGAGACATGGCCTAAAACCCAGGCATGTGCCATTGACTGGGAATCGAACCAGCCACCTTTTGGTTTTCAGGCCAGTGCTCAATTCACTGAGCCACACCTGGCTCCACCCCAGCCAGGGCTTTTAATTTTTTTTTTTTTTTAAGATTTATTTATTTTGTTTTAGAAAGAGGGGAAGGAGAGGAGGAAGAGAGGGAGAGAAGCACTGATGTATGAGAGATACAAGGATTGGTTGCCTCTCACATGCCCAACAGGGGATCTGGCCTTCGACCCAGGTGTGTTCCCTGGCTGGGGATTGAACCAGTGACCTTTTGGTTCCCAGACTGGCGCTCCATCCACTGAGCCACACCAACCAACCACACCAGCCAGGACTGTGTGATCTCCATTTCTGTGATTCTGTTCATGTTGTAGTTGTTTGCTTAGGTTTTTTGTTTGTTTGTTTGTTTGTGTTTACTTGATAGTTGTGACTTTATTGTTATTTTACTATTCATAGTTTTGACCTTCATCTACTTCTTAGATAAGTCCCTTTAACATTTCATATAATAAGGCTTAGTGATGTTGAACTCTCTTAACTTGACCTTATCTGGGAAGCACTTCGTGTGTGCCCTTCCATTCTAAATGATAGCTTAGCTGGATAGAGTCATCTAGGTTGTAGGTCATTCATTGCTTTTCATGACTTCTAATACTTCTTTCCAGCCCCTTCTTGCCTGAAAGTTTACTTTTGAGAAATCAGTTGATAGTCTTACAGTAATTCCTTTGTAAGTAACTGTCTCCTTTTGTCTTGCTGCTTTTAAGATTCTCTCCTTATCTTGAATTTTGGGTAATATAATTCTGATGTGTCTTGGTGTGTTTCTCCTTGGATTCAACTTCTTTGGGACTCTCTGTGCTTCCTTGACTTACAAGGAAGCCTAGTAAGTGAGTCTAGTGAGTCTAGTGAGTAAGTGAGTCTAGTTCATTCACCAGATTGTGGAAGTTTTCTTTCCTTATTTGTTCAAATAAGTTTTCATTTTCCTGCTCTTCCTCTTGTTCTGGCATGCCTATGATTTGGATATTGGAACATTTAAAGTTGTCCTGGAGGTTCCTAAGCCTCTCCTCATTGTTTTTAATTCTTGTTTCTTCATTCTGTTCTGGGTGAATGTTAATTTCTTCTCCTAGTCCAAGTCTTTTATTTGAATCCCAGTTTCCTTCCCTTCACTCATGGTTCCCTGTATATTTTTCTTTGTATATTTTCAAATATCTCACTTTGTATGGCTTTCATTTCTTCCTTTATTTTGCGACTGTACTCAATCATGTCTGTAAACATCCTGATTACCATTGTTTTGAACTCTGCATTTGATAGGTTGGCTGTCTCTTTGTTGCTTAGTTCTTAATCTGTTCTTTCATTTGGGCCATATTTCTTTTATCTCAGCTCATCAGTCAAGGGGTGGCGCCTTAGATACTCACCAGGGTGGGGCAATCCTCGTGGCTCTGTTGTGATGTTGAATGTGGGGGAGGGGTTTGAGAAGGAACAATGCCACTTGCTGGGCCCTCAGTTGGCTTTCAGTTACTTCCTCACTACCCACAAGGAAATTGGGCCCTGCTGGTACTGAATCCCGGGTGGGTTGGTTTGTGTACATTCTAGGACCCCATAGGCCCCTCCAGAAGATTGTCCTATGAAGCTGGGAGTTTCTCCCGGCATCACAACCCCCAGATTTTTATAGGTAGAGGTTTTGAGTCTTTATTTCCCTGCACTGGAACCCTTGGTTGCACAGTCTTTCTTTCTCCCCAGTTCCTCCCTTCTTATCCATATGCAAATATGGGACCACCTGGTTGGCCAGCTGCTACCTCGTTATGTGTCCTCTCCACCCTGGCTTCCTGTCTCTGCCCCTCCTACCAGTCTGGATGAATGTTTCTTCAACTCTTTGGTTGTCGGGCTTCCACACAGTTCAATTTTCTGACCCTTCTGGTTGTTTGTTATGGTTTTATATTGGTTGCTATCCTTCTTTTAGTTGTGCAAGGAAGTGAAGCATATCGTTCTATGTCTCCATCTTGGCCGGAAGGCCAATATTTCTTGTTGGATTGAGTTGACTCCCATCTGCCCCCTGGAGCAGAGCAGGAATCATCCTTATCAATATTATCTGCTGCTGCATAACAGCCACTTGTCATCTTATAGCTTCTGTGTCTGGGAACTGAGGAACAGTGTGCCTGGTTCCGGCCCAGGGTCTCTTTTGAGGCTGCATCCCACTGGAACACTTGGTTAGGGCCAGAGTCTGTGCTCCCAGTATAGTACACTGACCTTGGCCTGGGCAGGAGCCTTTGTTCCTGGCCATGAGGGGTTCCATGGACCTGTTCAACATGGTTGCTATCATCTGAGAATAGAGCAACCAAGATGGAATCCACGATGTCTTTTATAACTTAATTTTGCTTGGGATGTGCTGTCACTCTGCCCTTATTCTGTTGGTCACACAGACCAGACCTCTGCAGTGTGGTGAGGACTACAGGGTATGAGTATCAAATGATGGGGGCCATTGGGTACCATCCTGGAGACTGTTGACCATACCATCTCCCAGATGAGACAAGGGGTTTTCTACTCCCCTGGGGTTGGCTGCCGCTCAGGGCTGTGGAGACTAGGGTTCTCTTAGGAGCTTTTCCACCAGATACCACAGACCCTGTACAAGTCAAGGGGTTGGGCCCACTGGGCATCCATGCCTGCAGCCCTGGGAACATCAGTGCCACAAGATGTTTCTTTGCTGCACTTGAATTTAGAAGACAAAATGACCACTAAATGAAGGTTTCCACACTAGTAATGCTGGAGGACTCACCCACCCTGGCAGGGATCTGGCCCAGCCTTTCTGAGAGGACAGAAGTGCTCTGGAAAACTGGCCATCTATAGATGTCCACACTGGCCTAGAAGTCTCCCTGCTCAGCATCTGATTGATACTGTGTATCTCTCAGGTGCATGGGCACCACTCAGCCTTTTGAGTAATGGACTGTCAGTGTGCTGTGTGTTCTGGTCTGAGGGATTGTGTTTCACATCAGGACTTCTTTTCTGTCTTTCAGTTTGATCTGCCTCTGGGTCAATGACAAGGTGCATGAGAGAGGGTTTCTGTGCAGACTACAGTGTGTGGGCACCCCCAAATGGGGCACGTGGATGACGTTAGGTCCCTTTGCCTGCCTGGGGACAAAGATGCTTTCCTATCCATCTCTTGGAAGTGATGCTTCCCTGTTCTTTTTCCTTTCTGAAGAACGGGGAGCTGATTTACGGCTGCAAGGATGCCCGCAGCCCCACGGCTGACTGGAGTGAGTTGGCACATCACCTGAAACCTTTCTTCTTCCCATCCAACGGCCTGGCCAGTGGGCCCCACTGCACGAGGGTTGTGATCCGGGAGCTGGTGCGTGTCATCACACGAGTGCTGCTTAGCGGCTCAGACAAGGGCTGGGCAAGTGCCCTGAGACTGGGGCCAGGGTCGCAGGGCCCATGTGTCTGTGAAGCCAGCCCTTTCAGCAGGAGCCTGCCTCACCAAGGTAGGCTGGCTGGGTGGTTGGGTGTGTGGGCAGAGCCTGGGCACAGCCTGCTGGGGTCCTTCCTGGCCTCACAGAGCTTCTACAGGAGCAACTTGGGCCCTAACAGGGCTCTCCCATCTGGCCTCCCAGTCTCTCAGGCCTAGGTGGGGAGACTCCCTTTCTCATCTCTGATCTGAATTTGTGAATTGCATCACAGGTTTGGGCTGTATGGTTTTCCCTAAAACATTGTCCCACAAGTCTGCATCCTTTGTGGTTTGCTGAGTGCTTTCTCTACATGCCTCTGGTTTATTCTCTCTGCAAACCTGGTGTTGGGTTTCCAGGGCCTGTTTCTTACACGTGGAGAAATGAGGCACTGAAGTTGGAGTCTACAGTACAAGCCCTTTTAGGTAGGGTTGGTCCCAGCAGGCAAAATTTGGCAGACAAGTGTGAGCACAGGCATGTAGAGCTTGTGACTCTGGGCACCTCCTACTAGAGGACCTGTTCCTCATAGATTCAATAGTAGCTAGCTGTGACTTGGTGGCATCTGAGCTTCAAGAAGGTTAATTTGGGGTTTTGTTCTGAGTGTTTATGGGCTCCTTATTTGCCCCTTTGTCACCTGCTAGCAGCTTCACTACATATTCTGGTCTGTGGCATGCAGTGCTATAGCCAGTAACTTACTTTGTGGGGCCAACTAGGAAGACTGAGATTCTTCATTTTTTGTGTTAGGAGCCCTGTGGTGTCTCAGAGACCGCTATGATGGCCACAGGGATGTGATGTAGGAAGACAGCAGCACTGCTCTGTGTGGCTTTTAGGTGTCGTTCTGTGGTCGCCTAAGCACAACAGATCACAACCATCCTCAGTGTGGCACCTCTTTCTGCAAGTAGGCTGAGGATCTGGCCTTCACAGACATGCTCTCACAGATTTGGGGATGTTAACATGACCATTTTAAATTTTGTGCCTTGCGTTATTTAGATTAAGGGTCATCTCTCGAAACTTAGATCTGAGCAGAAGGGTCTGAGAGGGAAGAGAGGCACAGAGCACCTCCCTCTTTGTGCCTGTCCTTGTGTACATGCCAGCAGCCCAGCAATTTCCTGAGACTGTGTGGCCTGTACCTGTGCCTTTATTAGTCCTTGACAGTAACCTCTTGTTTCCCTTGATGTTCTTGGTAGGAAAAAGCAGCCTGGAGCGCTCGGGGTTACCGAAGGGCTGTCTTCTGTATAAAACCCTTCAGGTGCAGATGTTGGACATGCTGGACATTGAAGGTCTCTACCCTCTGTATCGACGGGTTGAGAGGTACCTGGAGGAGTTTCCTGAGCAGAGGTGAGGTTGGGGTCCATGGTGCCCCTGCCCATTCTGGTCCAATGTGGGGCCCCTGAGCATCCCAGAAGGTGAGGTAAGGATGAGGGGAGGTGTTACTCCAATGTGAGGACAACACAGGCCTCTCAGGAGGATGACCAACCCCATCCACCTTTCCCCATTACCCTGAGGTGCCAGTTCCACCTAAGGACTCAGTGCTGTGTTAAGGACCAGGGTCCCTTAGATCAGTAGTCACTGGTCCATTCCTGGAAAAGAAGCAACTCCTGTGAATCTGACAGTTTTGAGTTGGGGCCAGGCCTGCAGGGGGCAGTGCTGCTCCACAGGCAGTAGCCTCTGCGCCCCCGGCAGGCTCTGAGGGCTTCCTCCCTACTCTCCCTTCTCTAGGTTCTCTGACCTGTACACTGTTTGTCACAAACAGGTCATATTTAGCCTCAGCTCCTCAGGTTCTGGTCTTGAGAGTTCTTTTTAAAACGATGCAGCTTCAGGATAAAGTGTAGCATTAGGAAGAGGAGAATCCCTTAGGTGTTCTTTAATACCAAATGTGTGATTACTAAACTGTTAGCAGTCTAAGAAACCATTTTTTGTCAGCTTTGTCATCTTGTTTTTTTGTGCCCTTTCCTTCAGAAAAACATTGCAAATAGACGGGCCTTATGATGAAGCATTTTACCAGAAGCTACTCGATCTTTCCACTGAGGATGATGGGACATTGGCTTTTGCACTGACAAAGGTGGGCAGACCTTTCCAGAAACACACTGTGTGCTCTTTAGGCTCTTAACGTTAACTTGAGGTTTTCCTGAGAAATATTTCTCAGCACCTACCTCTGATGGTTAAAGCAGAAAAATTAGGGATTTGAGAAGGAAGTAGCTAAAGTTTTCCCCAGATGGACTGGGTCTGGTTAGGATTTGTTCAGTTGGCTGCGGTTCCTGCCTCTGGGGCCAACCTTTCTTCACCCCCTTCCTGGGGTCCAGGACCTGGGCCCACCTCTCTGTGCTTCTTTAGGAGAAACCTTAGAACTGGCTTGCACCAACCTTTCCTCCCATGACTCTCACTGGGGGTCCAGGCCCTCACCTGTGGCTGGATGGGAGCTTCCTTCCCCCAGAACTTAGGCCAAGGGGAAGAATCTCTTAGAAAAGAGGTCCAGTCCTGTTCTTTTTGATTCTTTCAAATCAAGGAGTTCAGAAGCTCCATGAAACTGGATAGGAAAGAAGTTATATCTTTTACTAAGCTCTAACTGAAATTCAGCATTTCATTCCATTACGAATTTGGCAACAACCACTGAAGAGTGAACAGGACCCCTGACTGTACCACAAGAAATCATTTCCTTTCCTTTTATACTGCATTTGCTACAGAGGTCTCACAAAAGCTTTGTGGTCATCACTTGAGAAGTTTGGTTATATAGTTCTGTGTAACACATTTGTTTTAAAAAAGTGTGGTATCTGATATGGTCACCTTCTGTTTTTTATTCTCTGAATTTTTTAAAAATGTGAGATTCAGAGAGAGATCCATAGGCTTCACTGGGCTGACAAAGGTGTTGCTAGATGCTGAAATGGTTAAGGTACCATTTTCTTGTAGGGGAGAGGTGATCTGAGTGACCTCTATGTGCCTCTGGGCAGCTGCCCTGGAGCCCTTGGCTTACCTGTCCTGGTACTGATGAAGTATCTATGGTTCCCACTTGTGAAAAGAGTCCTCACGCCCTGACCGGGTTGCTTAGTAGGTTAGAGCATCATCTTGTACACCAAAAGGTTGCAGGTTTGATCCCCAGTCAGAGCCCATACCTAGGCTGCAGGTTCAATCACTGGTTGGGCTGTGTCCCAGAGGCAAGTGGTCTATGTTTTCTCTCACATTGATGTTTCTCTCTCTCTTCCCCTACTGTGTTCCTCTCTCTCAAATCAGTAAACATATCCTCTTTAAAAAAACAAAAAAAAAGGAGTCCTCACTGTTGTCTCTGGCCAAGGAGGTCCTCCCTGAAGGCAGAGCTGTCTTCAAGGTGGGAAGAGATCCAAAAGTGGAGCCTTGGACCCAAATGAAGTGACAGAATCTGCCCTATGTTGTCTGGAACTTGAATACATTGATTTTGGAGTAAATAACACCATTTCTTCTTGTTTCAAGAGAAGAAACAGGACTTTTCTTCCTATTTTATACATTTCTATATTTTTCAAAATTCCTACTAAATAAGCATGGATTGCTTTTTAAAATTATTTCAGTTTTTTAACCTCATATGTAAATATTACCTCATTGTAATAGATTCAATCAATCATTACATAACTAGGATAATGACCTAGGGAACATACCAAATGCTGATGCAGAGAAAATGGGTCACTCATACACTGCTGATGGGATGTTTAGTGGCACCAGCCACTCAGGAAACAGTCTGGCAGCTTTCTACTAAATTGAACAAGCAAAGAGCCTGTAACCCATCTGGGCAGTTCTCACAGAGGATGCAAGACTTCTGCTCACCCAAAACCTTGTGCAGGAATGTTCATTTAGTCCTGTATGGAATAGCTAGAATGTGGACATAAATTGTTAGCGGTTGACCTACATCAGGTTGTCCAGACTGGCACTGCTGAGCAATGAAAAGGAACAAACTCTGGATACATGTTGCACCCTGGGTGAATCTTCAGGGAATTCTGTTGACTGATGAAAGCCAGCCACAAAAGGTCACGCTATGTTTCTGGTTTGGTGACATTTTTGAAATGACAAAGATGTGTCATTGCTGTGGGTTGGGGAGGAGGTAGGAGGGAAGTGAGTGTGATTATAAAAGGTCGACATGAGGGATCCTTGCAGTGATGGAACTGCTCTGTATGTAACTTGACTGTGGTGGCGTATGCACAAACCTACATGTGTGATAAAATACACACACTCATGCACACAGGAGTACATGTAAAACTTTGGAGATTGGGATAAAATTGTGGAGTGTATTGATGTCACTCTCCTGGCTGTGATATTGTATTATACAGTTCTTCAAGATGACACCATTGGGGGAGGCTGGGTAAAGGGCATTCAGGATCTCTGCTTTATTACTTTACAAGTGTATGTGAACTTATAATGATCTCTAAACAGTTTGATGAAAAGATGCAAGCAGTGAATATATTGTGTAAAATGTGGCCATATTCCCGCCCAGGCAATAGATACCCATGGCTAACAGTATGTCAGTATGTTTTTAGAACTTCATATGCATGTGCGCATACACATACTCTCACATCATTCAGGGAATTGTCCACATACATGTTGTTTACCAGTTTGAATTTAAATGTAACACGGCTTGAGGTCTCTCGGTGTTGGAATATAAGGGTCTTCCTCTTTTTGTCTTAAGGAGTTAGGTTCTGGTGGTTAGAATCAAGAGGGCTGCTATGGAGTGGGAAGCTGGGGAGCAGGTTGGGAACATTACTTGGCCACAAACTGTTAAAGTTGTTTCTCAAAGGCTGTTTATCTAATGTACCTCTGATGAAATGAGAAAGGAGGGGATATTATCTTTATTTCCATGCCCAGGAACTTGCAGCCCAGAGTGACTCTTGCTTTCTGTCTGTTGTATAGTATTCTGTAGTGGGAATCAGCAGATTTTATAAAGGGCCAGAGAGTAAATGCTTTAGAGTTTGTAGGCCATCTGGTCTCTGTTGCAGGTATTCAGTTCTGCCATTGTAGCTTAGAAGCAGCCAGAAACAAACATAAATGAGCACAGCTGTGTTCCAGTAAAACTTTATTTACAAAACAGGTGGCAGGCTAGATTTGGCTCCCAGCCCATAGTTTGCTGACCTCTCTGTTCACTTTTGCTTGTTAGCTTTTATTTTCCATTTTTCTTAATTAGTTTGGAAATTACATTGTTTTTGTTATTTTAGTGGTTACTTGTCCAATTTGACCATGCATATTTCAAGTCTAATGCTAAATGATAACTTAATCAACCCCTAAACTTCCAACCCTGGCCACACAAGTAATATAAGGAATTGGGATACTTTAATTCCAGTTATTTCCATTTATTTCTCCCAATACGTGTACTTATTATCTGCACTTCTATTTGTCTTCTTTTTAAAATCACAGTTTGCGATATTATTTTATACAGATGTGTTTAGATTTGTCACGTTTGCCCATATCTTTATCCGACATTCTTGCATCTCAGATCTTTTTTTTTCTTTTTTATAACAGCTTTATTGAAGTATACCTTATATACCATACAATTTTACCTGCTTAAAGTGTACAACTCAGTAGATTTTACTAGATTCACAAATATGCGCAATCATCACCATAGTCAATTTTAGAACATTTTCATCAACTTAGAAGTCCCCTACCTTTAGCTATTATCCCTTTATCTCTATCCCACTCCCCGCTCCCAGGCCTCAGCAACCACTAATCTTTGTCACTATCTGCCTGTTCTAGATATTGCATATAAATGAAATCAATTTGTGGTACTTTATGACTGGCTTCTTTCACTTAGCATAATGTTTTCAAAGTTTATCTGTACTGTAGCTTATATCAATACTTTATGGCTGAATAATATTGCAGTATATACATATACAGAACAAATTTTGTTTATTCATTCATCAGTTGGTGGGTATTAAGTTGTTTTCACCTTTTGGCCACTGTGAATAATGCTGCTATAAATATTTGAGTACAAATTTTTGTGTGGGCATAGGCTTTTACTTTTCTTGGGCACATGCATAGGAATGGAATTTCTGGGTCAAATGGTAACTTACATTCCCACTGGCAGTGTAGGACAGTTCTAATTTTCCACATCTTTGACAATACTTGTTATCTGTTCTTCTGATTTTAGCCATCCTTTTGGGTGTGAAGCAGTATCTCATTGTGGTATCTCACAATGTGGTATCTCACATTTCCCTGAAGACTAAGCAGTTTTTTTGTGTGTGTTTGCTGCCCATTTGTATATCTTCTTTGGAGAACTCTTCAGATCCTTTGCCCACTTTTCAATTATGTTATTTGTCTTGTTGATGAGTTGTAATAGTTCTGTATTTTGTGAATAGTAGCCCTTCAGATATATGATTTGCGAATACTTTCTTCCATCCTTTTAGTTGTCTTTTCACTTTTTGATAATGTCCTTTGATGCAAACATGTTTTTAATTTTGATAAGGTCCAATTTATCTATTGTTATCTTTTAGTTCATGCTTTTGGTTGTCATATCTGAGAAGCCATTGCTAAATCCAAGGTCATGAATATTTTTCCATTTTCTTCTAACATTTTTATAGTTTTAGCTCTTACATTTAGTTTTTTGATCCACTTTAAATTTTTTGTATATGATTTGAAGTAGAGATCCAACATCGTTCTTTGCACGTGGATATCCAGTTGTCACTGTACCATTGGTTGAAGAGACAGTGAATGGTCTTGGCACCCTTGTGTTGCATTGATCTGTTTATACTTATGCCTATATCTTGTCTTGATTTACTCTTGCTTTTTAATAAGTTTTGAAATTGCGAAGTAGAAATTCTCTTTGTTCTTTTTTAAGATTGTTTTGGCTCTTTGGAGTTCCTTATAATTCCATATGAATTTTAGAATCAGCCTGTCAATTTCTACAAAGAGGTCAGCTGAGATTCTGATAGGGATTGTGGTGAATCTGTAGATTGCTCTGGGTAGTATGGCCATCTTTACAATAGTAAGTCTTCCAATTTTTTAACATGAGATGCTTTTCCATTTGGTTAGATCTTCGTTTTTCTTTCAACAATCTCTCACAGTTTTCAGAGCATACACTTTGTACTTTAGCTTATTCCTGAATGTTTTAGT